TCAAATTTCATAACTGTAAGATCCTAATGGGGAATAGTTTTCATTGTCGTTAGTCCTTTGATTTTATCAGGAAGTTGACTGTTATGAAATATTCTCCTAAAAAAAAATAAATAGAAACATTTGGGATAGACTCAGAACTTACTAACGTCCTTACTCTATCAGCAGACATTGGAAGCCGACTGGGGCCAGCAAGATGTTCTCAGTGGATAAAAACACTTGCTGTACAAACCTGAGGACCTAAGTTCAAGCCCCAGAATCCATGTATAAAAGCCAGATAGAGTGGTGAGCATTTGTAAACCCAATACTCCTGCAGAGAGATGGGAGGCAGAGATAAAATCACCCAGACGCTTTCAGCCAGAGAGCCTGGAGCACAGGGGCAGAACAGGAGACTCTTCCTCAACAAGGTGGCAGGAGAGAACTGACTCCTGGAAGTTATTCACATGCAAGCTGAGGTCTGAATGACACACACACACACACACACACACACACACACACACACACACACACGCACACACCACATTATAAAGGTAATATAACTTTTTAAAAAGCTGACTAAGGCCTCACACACACACACACACACACACACACACACACACACACATACGCACACACCACATTATAAAGGTAATATAACTTTTTAAAAAGCTGACTAAAGCCAGGTGTGGTGGTGCATGCCTTTAGTCCCAGTACTCTGGAGGCAGAGGCAGGCGGATCTCTGTGAGTTCAAGGCCAGCCTGGTCTACATAGTAAATTCCAGGACAGCTGGGGCTACAGGGAGACCCTGTCTCAAAAAGACCAAAAAAAAAAAGAAAGAAAAAGCTGACTGAAGTGAACTAGTAAAGTCAACACCCCTGACGCTTGGCCAGACATGGGTCCTGTACGTCAGCATTCCAGGCAAACAGCCACCTTCAAACAACCACTGAATGAATATGCTTTATTTAAACCCAAAATGCTTTTTTACTCAGGTCAAAAGAATTTAGGAGCTTTTATCTAATCTTTAAAAGAGTTTAGGGTTACCTCTTCAGAGCGGGGAATTTTAGAGTAGCAAAGAGCCCCATTTTAAAAAACAAGAAGAAAGAGTACATGAAGTTATCAGAAAAAAAGTGATGGGGAGATATGGGAGCAGGCAGACCTCTGTGAGTTCAAGGGCAATCTGGTCTACACAGTGAGTTTCAGGACAGCTGGGGCTACAAGGAGACTCTGTCTCAAAAAGACAAAAAAGTTGTCAGTAATTACTGAAATCTAGCTGAATTCTGAGGTAAAGTTACAAAAGGGTGTGTGTGTATGTGTTCTGCTTGGCAATTGTTGCAGTTAGCTTTCTGAATACTTGGCTTAAAGAATTACATTGATTATCTAGGTAAGTCCATTTCATGCTGAAACCACAGGCAGGGCAGGAGAAGCAGAAGGCTCCAGTAAGTAGCATTACTAACAGGACTTTGAGAATCAGTGGCAGGATGCACACCAGATTTAGAAAACCAGGTGAACATTGGCTTTCTGAGACTAGTTGAATCAGAACCCAAATTGGCTGTTCGTAGGTATTTATAATTAATCACTTTAGATCTGTATTTTTAAATGATTATTTATTTATATTTTATGTAATATAAAGAGTACATGAATATATAAACACATAATATATGTATTTGCCTGTGTGTATGTATGCATACCATGATCATGCAGCACTTCTGGGGACCAGAAGAGGGCTTCAGATCCCCTGGAACTGGAGTTAAGGATGGTTGTGGGCTGCCATGTGGGTGCTGGGAACCAAATCCAGGTCCTCTGAAAGAACAGCAAGTGCTCTTAACTGCTGAGCCATCTCCAGCCAGCCCCTTGTTTTTTCATAAAAAAGAAATGTATTTGTGTGTGGAGAGTATGTATGTATATGTGGGTGCACATGCCATGTTGTGTAAATAAAGGTCATAGGACATCTTGTGGGAATCAGTTTCTACCATGTGGGTCCCTGGAATGGAACTCAAGTCATCAGACTTGGTGGCAGGTACCTTTACTCTCTGAGTCACCTCCCTGGCCCTAGACTCACATTTCTAACACTGTAAGAAGTAACATCCACTTCCCCATGGCTCATGGCTCCAGGTCAATGGCCTCCATTGTCTCTGAACAGAACCTTGAGTCAGGTAGCTGGCACCACGGGGTATCTCTTAAATGGAAGATTTTTTTCTTATTTAATACATGCCTTCTGCCCCTTGGAAGAAGAGTCCTGTTTGAAGAGAGAGGACCCAATGACCTCTAGAAGCTCCAAACTTCTGCCAAGCTTTCTGTCAGTGAGATTTAAAAGCCATTTACTTGTGCTTATTTTATATTTAATGAGTTGGCTAATGCCAAAGACAAAACTGACGTCCCATTTACTTTGGATACTGAACATTTACACACAATTCTACTTGAAATATAGGATCAAGACCGCAAGCCATCATAAACCCTTGGGAAATCTTATCACAGCCGATGATGGGTACTTGAGGTCAGGTCAGAATCTCTGCCCTTGGTGGATGATGTATCTATGGTAACTTGATGGGGCAATCATGGTGGGGCATTAAAACTCAGAGCTGGAGAGCAGGAGGGAGCCTGTAGGAACTACACTGGTGGTCAATCTTAAAGGCTCACTGACCTGGCATTCCCCAGAAAAAGCTAGAAACTTGCCAGCAGAGATAAAGTAGCAACTTAGGCACACAAGAACAGAAAGAAAACAGGATGGAGCTGGAGCTGGTTGGTGTGTGTG